GAGGAGAAAGGGCTTGGTCTGGATTAGCTCGATGATCTACTGGGTAGCAAGCCTAGGTTTGGGATTTTGGATTATACCTTCATTTGGAAAGTATGGGCATGCCCTGTGGTACTCGGTGCAGGAGGGGGTCTCACTGATTATGATTGAATTCCTTGGCTCAGATTTTTGTGAAGCTGATTGGTGTGGAAAGAGATGCCCCTTTGTGTCGATCTATAAAAAGGAATCTTTAATCATCAATTCCATCTTTTCCCCTTTGAGGCTTTAAAAAAAACAACAACTCCTTTTTTGCATGACAGACCACAACCCAAAAGAGCTAAGAGACAAGTGATGTGGGCCCAGGACTAATTTGGAACAGGGGCACACGGGGGTTAATTACATGGGCTCTCACACGGCCAAAGAAGAGAATTCTTGGGCCCCAAGTTCCTGTTCCTAGAGTTGGAGAGGCAATGATAACCTCCCAGCCTGAGAGATGGCAGCAGAGGGGAAGGGGACCATGTGGTCTGAGGGATGTGGAAGAGGGTTGAGATTTCCAGAGGCCCAACCTCAGCACCAGCCTCAAGGGGTTTCCCATCTAGCAACCACAAGTTCAAAGATTTAGAGATCCAGCAGTGCCAAGCCCTTGGAGAAAGAACATCCATGTCTGAAAAAGGTAGACTTCACTAGAGATGAGGGAGAACTGTAGATTATTCTGAGTCTTTCATATTGTTTTCATATTTTTCATGTGGTGTAATACAGACTTTCCCATACTCGATATGTGTGTAGTAACCTTGAGTGCTTATACAGGAAGTGAAGTTCCTCTTGCTCACATCTGTAGAGACCTAGACATGAACTGTATTGGAGCTATAGTCTAAGATTTCCCAGTAGCAATCTGAATTAGGGTAACATGAGCCAGAGATAATGATTGAGGGGAAAGACCCAGAGCTTGGGGTGCTTGAGGATGGGTTATATTTTTCTGTCCCTCTTTCATTCTGTCTGAGTTGAAATTTTCCCAAACTGCTGCATTTGCAAGACCAAACCCTTCCTCTTCTGAACTAAAATTCTTTTCTGTTTATCTCAGTGTCCCGGACACCTGGTTTCTCTTTGATCTTACTGCTCTCGAACCCTAGGGTCATTTAGTCTCTCCTGGAAGATACCAAAAGCTCTCTGAATCATTCATCCACAGAGAATTAATTCATTCATTAACAAAGAAACACAGGCAATAACCCTCCCACCCCACCATTCCTGCACCCCCTGCAGAAGGACATACAGGGAGATCTGAGAGTAGGGAGAAGCCCTCCCTCCCATCAAGGGACCTCTTGGGGCAGAGGGCTCTCCCTGTCCCCATTGTCCACAGCTACCTTGTTGTGGAGCATGTCTGTTGTGATAGACCAATTAACTGGACTACCACAGTCCCTCCCACCCCTACCTCCACCTCTTCAGCCTTCCATAACACAAAACCCAAGGTTAGTCTTCTGGGCCAGCAAGGAAAGCCTAGGAGGAGCTAAGTGCCCAGAGCAAAATTCCTTTTACTCTTCTTAGCAGTTCATACTGAAATGTCAGTGCTGCTGAAATTAAACATTCTCTCTGGAACTTAGTTTCTCCCTTCTATGAAGCAAGGAGAACCATTACTATCTCCTCCCCATCTCCTATACCAGAGATTGTTATTGTTCATCCTTTATTTTCTTTTTTTTTCTTTTTCTGTCTTTCATTTTCTTTTTTTTTTAATTCAAAAAAGCATTTATTAGGCACCAATTATGTATAAGACACTTTCTTCCAACCCAGGGAAAACATCTATGCCTGTTTTTTTATGGAACTTTTTTTTATTAATTTATTTTGATTTATCAATAGTCACTTCCATATGCTTTTGAGTTTAAAATTTTTCTCCCCCTTCCTCTCCACCACCCTCCCCAAGACAGCTCACAATCTGATATAGGCTATACATTTACATTCATATTAAACATATTTTCACATTAGTGATGTTGTAAGTAAAAATTAAAACCAATAGGAGGAACCATCAGAAAGAGGAAACAAAACTCAAAAGAAGAGAAAAAAACATCAATTCAACTTCCATAGCTCTTTCTTTGGATGTGGATGACATTTTCCATCACAAGGCCTCTGGAGATGTCTTAGATCCTCATATTGCCAGGAAGGGTTAAGTTTATCAATATTAGTCATCACACAACGTGGCTGTTATTGTGTACAACGTTCTCTTGGTTCTGCTCACTTCACTCAGCATCAGACCATACAAGTTTTTCCAGGTTTTTCTGAAGTGTGTTTGCTCATCATTTCTTACAGCACAATAGTATTCCATCACATTCATATACCACAACTTGCTCAGCCATTCCCCAATTGATGGGCATCCTCTCAATTTCCAATTCTTTGCCACCACAAAAAGAGCTGCTATGAATATTTTTGTACATGTGGGTCCTTTTCCCATTTGTATGATCTCTTTGGAATATTGCCCTAGAAGTGCTATTGCTGGGTCAAAGGGTATGCACATTTTTATAGCCCTTTGGGCATCTGTCCTTCATTTTCAAAGAGGACCAATGATATGAGTGATGTCATGATCTGGGTGCAAATTGGATTTAAGTGAGGCATGGTTGTACAAAGTCTTCAGCCTCACTCTTCCAGAGTTATCAAGTGTAGTGGAAGGACAAGCCAGGAGAACTGGTGATGGCCCAGGATGCATTGGATGACCTTTGGCATCTTCTATGTCTGAGCAAGCTCTAAGCATTCCATGGGTCCTGCTTCAGCCTCCTTCATGGTCTTTGGAAAAAATTGTTCTCATCTGCCCTTCCGCCTGGAATATTACCAAGAGTACTGGGGAGGGGGAGTTTAGTTTCCCACCTTTTTCTGGCTCCATAGGCCATGCTCGGCAATGCTGCCTCTCCAATCCTCCCACACTTCCCTACTCCCACTGTCCATTTACTAGGGCCACAGACTTGCTTCTGGTGCCAAGGACAGACCTAGGCAATGTCCAGCAAGGGAACATTCTTGTGATTTGTCTCAGGACTTGACCTGGGCTTACTTTAATAGATCCATCCACACCCATATCCACAGGGAAGGAGAAGAACCCCTAATCCAATCTGTTTTCAAGAACAATAATGGGGGAAGGGAAGAAATGGAGGTGGTTCAGGGACCAGAGGGCTTTAGGGCTGAGTAGGTGGTGAGCAGTTTGGGGGCAGAAGCTAACACAGACAGTCAGGACTGCCTTGCCTTCTCCCAATCGCAGGCTAGACAACCCTACCACCCACACACCCCCATCACCTCTTGTGTTCTACCTGCTTGAAATAGCCCTTGCCCCTGTCCCTTTTCGAATAACTGCTTGGTCATAGAGTCACAAACGCTAGCTAGCCTTTATGTAGCTTTAAAGTTAAGCATTCATAAAGCTAAGGTTTCTAAATACTTTATATAGATTACCCCACAACAACCCTGTGAACTGGGTACCATCATTGTCTCCATTCAACACATGAGGAGACTGAGGCTGGGAGAAGGTGAGGAACTTGCCCAGGATTACACAATGAAGTGTATCATAGACATAGTCTTATCCCAAATCCAGTATTTTTCCTACCACACCTCACCCCCTAAGTGATGACCCTAGAAAAGTCTCTGCCAGTCATGACTACCAGCCCCCTCCCCCCCACTCCAGTGATAGTGGTAGGTAGTATGGACAGAATGCTCCTAGGTCTCCCTGTCTCAGAACACCCACACAAACTGTCTAGACTCAGAGGAGTAAGTACCCAAGAAGAGTGTGTTCTGAAGAAAGCTGGCACCCTGCCCTCTTCCTCACCCTCCACCCCCACCCCCAAGTAAGCAGGATATAGAAGTTAAAGCTGGTGGGGCCAGTATAGCAATAGTGACAGAATCATTGAAATCCTCACTTTCAGGAAAGCTGTAGGATACACTAAGGACTGGACCAGGTAACTTCTGGAGTCTCTTTGAACTCTCAAATGCTGTGATTCTTTGATTCTACAAGCTGGAAGGGGCCTCTAATGTTGTGAATAAGTGCCCTGTCCCAAAAGTAATCATCCAGGCTTTGCCTAAAAGCCTGGCTGGAGAAGGAGAGGATCAGGAATGGGCACCCTGTCACCTGAGCCAGCCTATTCCACTTTTTGACAGAATTGAGGAGCTATGGTTAGCTCTGATGGCTAGGGCTTTACCACAGAGAATTAATTCAGTCATTAACAACATTAATATCTGTGCTAAAACCGTTAGAGCAAGATAAAATTTGCCTCTTTTGCAATATCCTCTGAGGGTCCTGAGCAAGATGATGATGACCTTGAGATCAGGAGTTTAGGAGACAGAAGAAGGAAAGGGGGGATGCCAGAGAATTCTACAAGCTGTTGGGAGTGAGGGAGTCTGGTTGAGGGGGAAGAACTAAGGCTCTGAGGGCATCTGGGATACAGCATAAGGTCAATAGGGTGATGGAAGAGTACCTCTTTCCTACACCCACTTCATTCCTTACTGATTATCAGATCCAAAAACACAACGTCTACTTGAATCATTCCCTCATACCTTCAGCAAGCCCATTTGAGCCACTCTGGGTAGATGTTATCCAGGCCTATGCCCTATGGCGTGGAACACTAAAACTAGTGTTCTCCTAGGACCCCCTCCCCCAAAGCCCCCAATTAATCTTGACCTCCCTGGGGTTCCCTCCCCCACACCTTTCTCCAACCCACACCCTGATTCAGGAGTTGTCATAGAATATTACAGCTGGCAGGTGCTCTAGGGGCTGGATTAGGATCCAATCTCCTCATTTTACAGAAGAGGAAACTGAGACCCAGAGAAGGGATATAACTTCCCAGTTCCAAAGCTATTTAGTGCCAGAAAGGGAACTAGAATCTAAGTCTTCTGACTCCAAAACCAGTGCTCCTTCCCTTACATTGAACTCTGTAAAGGGTCAGAAGGTAAAAATCAGTCTCTCAGCTTTCTTCCCTATGCCCTCCTCCAAAAGCTCCCCTAGTCCTATGACTCTCTCCCCCTGAGGCCACAAGTTCCTTCCCCTCTGACCAGCACCCCAGTCCAATGCCAGCAGCCCATTGAAAAGCCCAACTACTCTGCCAGAGATTCCATTTTATTGTCTCATGTCCTGAACAAAGAATCTGGCCAATGCCATCAGCTTTGGCTGGAGGGAAGATGTGACAGTGGGGGGAGAGAGGCAGATAACACTGTCTTGCGCCACTCATGAAATTCAGAAGTCCACTTGTTTCCATGATTGAACTTCTTATCAGAAGAAAGAATGGACATCAGAGGTTTGCTGGGACAAGGTCTTTCCGGAATCCATAAGTTGGGGAAGAAAGGTGAGGGCAGGTCCTTGAAGTTCTGGCTCACTGATCTGCTCTGCCTTTTTCTTCTATACTTTTAGTATGGTGGTAGGGGGGAGGGGAAGCAGAAGCATGAGTTAGAGACTATTGGTTCCAAAGGCACACAGAAACAAATATGGATATACACAAAGACACACACACACACACACACACACACACACACACACACAAGCAAGCTTACAACAACCTCTTTTGGTAGTCCAAAAAGCGTCTCATGGACCTCCAGTAGTTCTTGAGAACCTCAGGGCTGGCTTCCTTGCCTGGCCACTTGGGTCTGACAGGTATTTTTTCCTTTAAGCCAGCTGACACCAGCTGGACCTGCAGGCAGGTCAGGAGGAAAAGGAAAGTCCAGCAGAGCCAGGGGTCAGGGGGAGTCATCTGAAAAGAGTAGATATGGAGTAGGGAATCAATTCAATCTCTCCTCGATCTCTCTCTCTCTCTCTCCCTCTCTCTCTCTCTCTCTCTCTCTCTCTCTCTCTCTCTCTCTCTCTCTCTCTCACACACACACACACACACACACACACACGTACACACACACACACCCATACACACACACATATCCACAAGCTTTATCAATCATTCTTCTCCCACCCTGAAATTCCCTCTTACCCTGAACAGGAAAAGAGAAGCAATGCTCTAACCAGACTGGTTGAGTAGTACTGCCTTTCCTCCAACCCAAGTCATGTAATGACATCTTTTCCTCCCCTCCTGACTTGGCCAATGAGAACCCTGTCCTACTTGAGAGTCCTTCTAATATTTAAAGGTAACTAGTATCTAGCCCAGAGGTTTCCTAGCCTTTTTTGTGTCATGGAAATCTGGTGAAGCCTATGAACCCCTTTTCAGAAGAATATTTTTCAAAACATAAAATAAAATACATAGGACTTCAAGGAAAATCTATTATATTGAAATATAGTTATCAAAATATTACAATACAAACAAGTTCATGAACCATGGGGTAATTCTCCTGGACTAGCTTAAGCTATAAGATCATAGAATATCACAGGCAGCTAGACCAGCAATCAGAAAGACATGAGTTCAAATCTGGCCTCACTCTTTTGCCAACAGTATGACCCTGGACAAATTGCTTAAGCTCTCCCAGCCTCAATTATCTCGTTATTATGATAATAGCACCTACCTTCCAGGATTGTCATGAGAATAACATGAAATATTTGCCAAGAACTTTGCAAATTGTAAGGGAATTGAGGCAGTGCAGTGAATAGAGTGCTAGGCCTGGAGTCAGGAAGACTCATCTTTCTGAGTTTGAATCTGGCCACCAACACATACTAGCTGTGTGACCCTGGGCAAATCATTTAATTTTTTTGGCCTCAGTTTCCTCACCTGTAAAATGAGCCAGAGAAGAAAATGGCAAACCACTCCAGTATCTCTGCCAAGAAAAACCTCAAATGGTGTCACCGAGAGAGTTGGACAGGACTGAACAACAACTTGCAAATTGTAAAGCACTATATAAATGTTACCTACATATGTCAGAGTTGGGAGAGTGATAACAGCTGACATATCAATTAGGGAATGACTTGTATTCCTATCAATTTGATTCAGTTCTCTATATATTTTAGAAGTGAGGCCTTTATCAGAAATGCTGGCCGTAAAAGTTGTTTCCCAGCTTTCTGCTTTCCTTGTAACCTTATTTGCATTGGCTTTGTTTGTGCAAAATCTTTTTAATTTAATGTATTCAAAATTATCCATTTTGGATTTCATAATGTTCTCTCTCTCTTGTTTGGTCATAAATTCTTCCCTTCTCCATACATCTGACAGGTAAACTATTCCTTGCTCTCCTAATTTGCTTATGGTATCACCATTTATGTCTAAATCATGTACTCATTTTGATCTTATCTTGCTACACGGTGTGAAATGTTGGTATATGGTATGGTTTCTGCCATACTATTTTCCAGGTTTTGCAGCAGTTGTTGTCAAATAGTGAGTTCTTACCCCAGAAGCTGGAGTCTTTGGGTTTATCAAACAGTGGATTACTATAGTCATTTACTGTTGTGTCTCCTGTACCTAACCTACTCCACTGATCCGCCACTCCATTTTTTAGTTAGTTTGGTGGGTTTTTTAAAATAAATTTTTATTAATGCATTTTACATAATTATAGTTTTAGTTTTATTGGCATGTTTTGCTTTTATATTACATTTACAGATTATCTCCACTGTGAGAAGTATCTTGTAACAAAGTAAAAAAAAAAATAGGTAAAATTAATAAAATGGTGGCCTTATCTGAAAGTGCATGCAACATTCCATAACAGTAGCACTTCCTACCTCTCTATCTTTCTAGTTTTTTTTAATTAACAGAAGTCTATTTTCTTTCTTATCCATCACCCCACATACACATTGCACGGGGAGTGGGAGGGAAGGAGAAAAGAAAAACAAATTCCTCCTAACAAATATGCATAGTCAAGCAAAACAAATTCTCTCTTTGGCTGTATACAAAAATATATATGTTTCATTTTGCGCACTAAATGTAACCCTTCTCTATCAGGAGGTGGATAGTATGGTTCATCTCTGGTCCCCTGGGATCATCAATGGTCTTTGTAGCAATCAGAGTTCTTACAATTTTCAGAGTTGTTTGTCTTTACAGCTGTTATTGTACACATTTTTCTCCTGGTTCTGCCCATTTCCATTTTCATCAGCTTATACAATTCTTCAGAATGATTCATTTGTATGATAATGAGGTGTAGTACAAATTGTTTTGGTCCTGCACACTTCACTCTGTATCCCTTCATATAATTCTTTCCATGCCTCTTCAAAATCATCCATTTCCTCGTTCCTTACAGTACACTCATCTACCATGACTTATTCAGCTATTCCTTTTTGGGGAACTGACAGGCATCCTTTTAGTTTCTGGGTTGTTTTTTGGGGAGGAGGTGGTTGCTGTCACAAAAAAAAGCTGCTCTGAATATTTTTGTACATATAGGAAATTTCCTACTATTTTGATCTCTTTTGGTTATAAGCCTACCAGTAGTATAACTGAGTCAAAAAGCATGTAGTATTTAGAAACATTTTTGCATATAATTCCAAATTGATTTCCAGAATTGTTGGACTTATTCATGGATCTACCAACAGTAAGTATATCAATGTGTCTGTTTTCCACAGTCCCTCCAATATTTATCATTTTCCTTTTTTTTTGTTAACTTTGCCAATATGATAGACATAAGGTGAAATCTCATAATTACTTTCATTTCTCTAATTAGGAGTGATTAATGCTCTAATTGCAACATTTTTTCATATGGCTCTGTACAATAACAACAGATAGCCTTGATTTGTTCCCTTGAGAACTGCCTACTCATATCCTTATGCCACTTATCATTTAGGGAATGGCTCTTGTTCTTATAAATTTAAATCAGTTCCTTATACATCTTGGAAATGAGATTTTTGTCAGAAAAAAAGTTTCTGTACCTTTTAATCTTAGCTTTAATCAATTCATTTATATAAAAACTTTTAAAATTTTATGCAATTAAAATTAGCAACTTTGTCTTCTGTGATCCTCTCTTTCCATTGTTTGGTCATGAACTTTTCTACTATCCATAGATCTTAAGGTAATTTTTTTCCCATGTTTCACTAATTTGTTTATGATGTGACTTTTTCTTTCTAGGTCACATACCCATTTCAAGTTTATCTCTGTATAGGGTGAGGGATGTTGGTCTAAATTTAATTTCTTCCACATTGCTGTCCAATCTTCCCAATTGTTGTTATTCACTTGTCAATTCACAAATTGTTGTTATTGTGTCTGACTCTTTATGACCCCATTTGGGGTTTTGTTACCAAAGATACTGGAGTGGTTTGCCATTTCCTTCTTCAGTTCATTTTATAGGTGAGGAACTGAAGCAAACAGGGTTAAGTGACTTGCCCAGGGTAACAGAGCTACTAAATGTCTGAGGCTAGATTAGAACTCAGGAAGATGTCTTTCTGATTCCAAGCCCAGTGCTCTAACTACTGTGCCACCTAGCTGCCCCTTATTAGCTTCCATATCTCTTTGATTTCAAAATAAAAAAAAGGAAAATAGGAAAAAAGAAATGGAGAAAAGATGTCATATAGTAGAAAGAACAAGCAGCACCACTATGGAGAGTTCCCTATTGTAATATAGTAAGGTTACAGTTTCTAATATTTCTTAGCATGTTCACATAAACAGAAAAAATATTTATTTAATGTTCATTTCATAGTTATGCAATTTACTTTTGCAATGCTATCCACACATAGGATACTACAAGTCTAGCCATTTCTCCCCACCTCCACCCCCAGATATCATGAATTGTCTTTGCAAAGTAAGAGAGTATTTTTTTTCCTTTCTCATACTGAAGAAATGAGAAGTTGTCTGGCAGAGCAGACAGAGAGCCAGCCTTGGAGTCAGGAAAACCTGAGCTCAGGTTTCCTTAGTGCCCCAGGAAACTCTTCTAAGACTTTGTTACAGGTCTGTTCAAGCTTCCTACAGGTAGGACCTGTGAAGGAAGCCACTATCCACCTCCAGAGAAAGAATTGAAATATGCTTGGTATGGGGGTGTGTGTGTGTGTGTGTGTGTGTGTGTGTGTGTGTGTGTGTGTGTGAGTAAGTCAGAGGGACAGAGAGACAGACAGAGAGAGAGAGAGAGATGGTGGTCTTCTTCAGTGAGGGGGTGGGGAGGAAGGGAGGGAGAAACAGTTATCCCTTCCACATTGTGACTTTCCACATTTCGGTTTTGATTTAGGGGGGGGGGGGGGGGGAGAAGGGACGGCATGAGAAATTAAGTGGGATTTTTTGGGGAGTTTTGCAGCAGCCACAGACAACACACAAAGGCCAGCAGATAACACAGAGCCTATGACCAAATACTTAACACAAGTTTTACAATAATAAACACCCCAACAAAGAAAAAGAAAAAATTCAGATTTTTTTCTCTGGTACAAAGGGAGGGCCAGAAACTTTTATGTGGATTTTCTAGATCACAGGGGCTCTGCACCCCTAACCCCCACCATGTGAAAAGGATAATTGTAGTTCAGAACTTAAAATGTAACAAAAAATTTAATATAATTTTTTTTAAAAATTTCCTCACTGGAAGCTCCCTACACTAATGAAAGTATAGGTCCAGACTGAAAAGAAGGAGGAGAAGAAGAAGAAGAAGAAGAAGAAGAAGAAGAAGAAGAAGAAGAAGAAGAAGAAGAAGAAGAAGAAGAAGAAGAAGAAG